CTATCTATACTTCAAACGTTTGCGTGATTCCTGTATTTATGATTTGAATTCTACCTTATACTTGTAAGGTATTTTTTCATCATGAATCTTCTTTTTTCATACGAAGATCTGTAAAAACCTCATGTTCGAATGCAATTAAATGTATCAATGTAATGCATTTTCTATTATGCAAATGATGTTTTTATGAATGCAAAAATGTTGTTATTATGAATGCAAAAATGTTGATGCAATCTTCATTTGACTTCAAAGTGGCGAATTTGATTTTCTTCCACTTGATGATTCCTTTCCAGGGTTTTACTTCAAATATCAGTGTAGCAAATTATGCTAACAAGCTTTCATTTCTGAAGAACCATCTGATCAACTTGTATATTTGTGTCTTCTTCATTTGCATTAAAGTCTCAGAAGAAATGTTTTATTTATAGAACTCTTGACACAATCAGAATTATGACCTTGGTGCCCCCATTTTATCTTTGATAAAATTGACTTTCTTCACCTGAACTTGTGCAAAAATCCTATAAAGCTTTTATCTTTGAAAGGAGAATCTATCATCTTTGGAGAATATAGATGTAGATATGTCAAACTCAACATAGGTTATTTAGGAGAGGAGAATCTATTCTAATTCGACTCTTGAAAAACATCACAAGGAGGATTTATCCTAATTCCTTTCATTTCTCCACATCTAATTGGATCTCGAACGAAGCCATTCAGACCGTATCATGTTGAGATGTTTAACAACAACCTATCGTTTAACCTTAGTTGGCTTTACTAGTTTCTTGTTAAAATTTCAGCGCCCCTTCCGTGGAAAGAAATCTTCATCATTTCTAACTTCTAACATTGAGGTTTTGGAATACAACCTTGATCTTGGGTCAACAAATGGAAACACCATATGATCGCAACATTGGTTCATCACCATAATTACTAGTTCGTAGAACATTTGACTCCATGCTTATGTCTATTAAGGTCGTTTACTAAACTCCATGCTTATTGGTTCATCAACGTTATGGTCATAAAAAAAAAAAAGTTCACTAAAATCTTATGTCTATTAAGGTCGTTTACAGCGTTTATAATAGTATAAAAGAGCATGGAAACATAAAACCAGAAATGATATAAACATGTTCATATTGTAGACATAAAAACTTCAACTCCATGCTTATTAAATATCATGTCCTCAGAAAAGATGATATAAACTTGACTTCCAAATCAACAGAACATATAGGAAATACGAAAAATGGTTCTTTCAGCTTATAGTTCAAATGTTCTTAGATGCAAATAAATGGCCTGAAACAGAGAACCGCCCATCCCCTACCATCCAACAAGCAACAGTTTTAGAAGAGCCATCCTTATATAAAGCCCATTCTTTGCTTGTCTAAAATAGGCAGCCCTCGGGTCCCCGTCCACCTCGACAGTGATCTCGTCAAGCCTTGGGAGCGGGTGCATGACCACAGCATGCTTCTGCATCACCTTTAACACATTCTTGTCAACTATATATTTGCCTCGAGCTTCTTCGTAAAGATCAATTCTTTCTCCAAATCGTTCTCGCTGGATGCGAGTTTGATACACCACATCGCACTTAGAGGCCACTTCCATTAAATCATGGCTTTCTTCCCACTTGACGTCCAGTGATGTCAAATACTCTTTAATGTCATCCTGAAAAAGAAGAAAAAGAAGCAAAACAAACACATAAGTTAATTTGGCAATCTATTGGAAGTCTGTCTGTGTGAGTGTAGTAAGGTTGAGCATAAATACGGGCCAAGTAAGTCTAGTTTGTTAAAAACAAACCTTCATTTTAACAACATCGGGGGAGACGAAGTAGATCTTCACATCTTGGTACTTTGCAAGCAAGTATGAAAGAGAACGAACCGTTCTCCCGTTGGCAAGATCTCCGACAAGCCCAACTTTGATCCCTTCCAATTTTCCTATCTCTCTTTCTATGGTGTAGACATCTAAAAGGGCCTAAACAACAACAACAATGAAACGATCTTTTGAACTGAAACAGTTCAAATATATGGGAAAAAATACTTGGAAAATATTAAATATACTAATAATAAATACTTATTTGTACCTGACCTTCATCCTTGAGTTCATGTAACATAGGATGCCAATTATTTATACTAAGAAACCAAACTTGGATGTACCAGATAGATAAAAACCTTAGAAGCGACAAAATAGATCATGGTGAAGACAGGCCATATCCCATATTACAGAAATTACACAAGAAGGGTTGTTGGTTTTTCTTCATCACACATGTTTTTCATTTTACAATTCTTTCATAACGATAATGTAGTTTGCAATTGCCTACAGGGTTCAATGGAAATTAGTGAGATATTCGATTATAAGTTACCTGGGTTGGATGTTGACCCGGACCATCGCCAGCATTGATAATAGGAATGCCTGCTGTAGCTGCTGCTCGTTTAGCAGCACCGCTTTCAAAGTGCCGCATCACAATTATATCAGAGTACCCTTCAACAGTTCTTATAGTATCTACAAAACAAGTTACTTGGTTACGAAAAACACCATAATTGAACAACTTCAAAGAACGTTAACCAAAAAGGTTAATAGAATTTGCCTTCAAGAGTCTCTCCTTTAGCTGCCGAAGAAAACTCCCTAGCATTTTCAGTTGTTAGAACTTCACCACCTAGCCGTTTCATGGCCGACTCAAATGAAAGCCTAGTTCTGGTTGAGGGCTCGTAGAAAAGGGTGGCCATTAGGTAACCTTTGAGAATTTGACTCCCAGGTGATTTCTTTTCTATTTTCTCCATCTTTTTTGCCACTTCAAATATAGCATTTAGAGTTTCTCTATCAAACTGTTGAGCTTCAATCACATCATCAAGTTGAAACTTCTTCCTCATTGGATACACAAGCACTTTCTCAACTTCCACCGCATGACATTGCATCCGATTCCTCAAAAACCTTTCACTTTGTCCCCATTTCAGCCACTTCTCATCAGTTAGCAATCTTGAATTCATAAAGTCAAATGATAACATGGCTTTAACAGGTAATCGATTCATGGGATTCAAAGCATTAAACTTGAACTCTTTATTCGAATTGAAGGACTCCCTTTTCAAGGAGCAATTGGAAAATAATGTTGAAGAAGCCATTGTAATTGAATAAAAACAGCTTCAAAGTCTGCAACAAAAATCTAAACCGAAGGTTACACTTACTATCGATCATATAACGTACACATGAATTTCTATGAAAAAAAAGAGAACTTTATGAGATGATTCAAAATGAATGAATCATGCCAATGAAGGTTCCCTGATATGCACTAAAAGTACCCACAATTTGCATTAAGCTGAATCAAGCCAAACACCTTTGCAATATATATATAACGTTAAAATCCACTATTTATAAGCTTGGTAATATAAACCATAACTTTGGAATTGTAAGCTTATTAGAATCACAATTTTTCTCAAGCAGTCATCTATCACCGCATCAAAAGAAATATCCCAGTCTTTCAAATTCAACAAAACATAACATAACATGTAAACCAAACATAAAAAAAGAGAATTAAGTTACTGTAGTACTCTCAGTATGATGTTCAGTTAAATATTTCCATCATTTTTATACCTTCAACCAAACAAACAGAAGGTACCCAATAATATGAAACGAGTATAAGCTGATGAAGAAAGAGAGAGAGAAATAAAACCAAGAAAGGAGACCTGGGAAAATTTTCCAGGGAAGAGAGAAAACTGAAAAGCTGTGTTTGGATGCTGGGAAAAAAAGGTAAATAGAGTGAAGGGAAATAAAGATAGGGTTTTTCACTCTCTCTTTTTTCCTATAAAGATAGGGTTTTTCAGTCTCTTTTTCTTTCTTTCTGTGTTTCGAATATATTATAAATAGGAAATGGAGAAAGTAAAAGAAAGAAAGTAGGGATTCTTTGGAAAGAGAAAATTCATGAAATTTTTGGCGAAAAATATGTATCACTATTAACTTCATTTTTCTAGTTTCTTTTCTTTTCCTTTTGGATTTTGTCATCTGCTTTCGGCTGTAGATAAAAAGGTTTGCAAAATATAAGGTCATAGGATCTAATGGTTGTGCTAAATTCATCTTCATCTTCTTTTCTGATACAAAAATGCATTATAATATCTTCATTGTTTTGTAGGGAAAAATTTATAAGGAAATTTAAAATCTTTGACAGTGTATTTCATTTCGATACTGAAATGTATAGAGAATTTGATTGACCATATTATCGTCAAAAGTTGGTGACATGATAAACATATTTAGATTATCACATTTAAAGAAGTGGCTGAGGAGGGTGTCTAGTCGATTTAAAGGTCCAAGACGATGGCAGAAACGGCAAGGGATTGGTGGACAAGGCCATCGTAGCAACGGCTGTGCCAATGACGGTTATCATAGAAACAACATCAAAAGGTAGGGTAGTTCGTGTGGAGGAGACAACATTAAACAGTTCGCTTGTTCCTACAACATTACATTCAAGCATATCCATGGCCTAACCACTATATCTGGTTCATCGAGGGTTCACTATCATCAGCATCAACATATATAGTAGCAATCCATTGGGTAAACAGCTCATTTCAGGATGCACAAAATCAATACGAACAGACATATATGAGTAAAAAGGCCATTCTCGTTCACCAATCATTGGGGGTCTTACTATAACTATCTAGCACTCATCGAAAGGAAGGGTTTACCTCTCTTTGGTTTTAGATAATGGTTTTTTCGAAACAGGACATGATAGATCCACTGATTCGATGAAGCTCAAAAAGATATATTGGTGCATATAAGAACGCATACATCTAACAGATGACCAAAAAAATGCAGATTAAAGGAACAATTACTAACTTCTAATCAAGCAAAGCTCCAAAGTACACTACACAATACAAAGATCCAAGAACCTGACGTCCAAATCTATGTATTGTCTCATCAAAAGCATGAAATAAGATGAAGAACAAGTTAATCAATCTCGGGTCTCAGTTGCAATGTATTAATAGTTATCCCAACTGACATCAAGCCCGAACAAGATATGATCATTTAAAAATTCATGGGAAAGAAGGAATGAAACTCCGAGAAGTGAAGAACTCTTATAAGCTATATTAAAGCAGCAACACACTGAATGAAAGATCGCCAAACCACAATTGAAACACTATCTTATCAAGAAGATCAAATGACATTCGATTAACTATCGACACTCATGTTATTCAACAACATAGGTGCTTAAATTGAACTGCAAATACCCAACATTGCATTAGCAACAACCATAATTCATTTTTCATTTTTCTGAGTGGTCAGTGTCATCCGGCTTCTCCAGCCCGTAGCGACGATTGAGCTTAGCAATCTGTCCTTCGGTTGCAGCTAATTGACGTTTAGCCCTCAAGTGATAAACTTTACCCACACTGTGTATTTTTTTCATCATGAAGTTAATCAAACGACCACTTGGGGTCACATAAGATATCCATTGCATCTGAGGGTGCAATCCTTTCTTCATCTTTAATAAAACTACAATCCAGACACAAGCTTATTATAGAATAACTATGAAAATCAACAAAGTAATAAAGACAGAAACAGAGAGATGTCAATGTCCAATTAAAAACAATTAGATTCAAACTCAAAATCAAAGGTTAAGAGCACTCAATTATGATTGAAGTATAGAAATCGTGTTTACTTTGATTAAGATATAATTGTTCAGTTCTAAGGTTTAAAAGAAACAAATTACTTCTCTAAACAAAGTTTAATTTAACGTAAAACCCAGAACTCACCTTTTTTACCCAAGTTCGGGAATCTGGGTTCATAAAAATAAAAGGAAAAATATAAGCATTTTAAACAAGTTTCAAGAAAAACAGAAGCAAAAGAAAAAAATTATTATAAAAAAAGAGAAAGAACCGAACCTGGCGGTGGAATCAGCTGCAAATGAGTGAAAGTATACAATAGCAGCGCCTGAGAACCAGAAAGACGGCGGCGGAGCAAAGAGGGAGTGACGGCGGTCAGCAAAGTAGAAAGCAAAGCCTATTTTTCGTGGTAAAACGGGAATTTGCCCCAAAGGAAAAAACAGAACAAATGTATTTGGGCAGGCTCAATAATTACCATTTAATTGTATCATAAAGCCCATGCCCTATGTGGATAATTTATTCTAAAAATAATGGTTCATATTAAAAGCTTGAGGACCATGGCCCAATTGTTTCTTTTCTACTTATCCTTGGCAAAATTAGAGAAATATTTTGATCTTTTAGTCTTGTCTAAACCAGAAACAAAGATTTAATTAATTGATTTTATCTAAACTAGCTCCTAGTTCATAAAACTATTCGGAAAGCTACTTTCGTTTACCTATGTGGCTTATTGATTCTAGAGAAGCAGTCAAAGAGTGTTTTTTTGTCGTGGTGTTTTCCAAGATAACGTTCCATTTCTTTTAAATCTGCATTTGAAGTTGTTGAAGATGCACCTCCTACAATTGTTAGTGATAAAATTATTAGGATAGTTCATTAGGATTGTCTGTCGAAATGGTAGCTAGAAGAGTGACGTCTTGGAGCCATTCCTCTTCCATTAGTTGTACGATGTCGTTCGTCTTGTTAGTATTCCATCGAAATTAATTCAATAGGCTTTGTGATCAGCGGACGCCAATTTTTCAACACTTGAAGGGGCAATTAGGAGTGTTTATCGAGAAAGTCGATCGCGAGTTGGTTAGTGCTCGACTCATGCTCGTTAAAAAAATTTGTTGCTCGACTCAACTCATTGCTTATTAAGCTGGTTAAATTTTTGCTCGACTTATGCTTATTAAAAAAACTTGTTACTCGACTCATTGCTCGTTAAGCTAATTACTCGTTAAGTTAGATGCTCGTTGCTCGTTGCTCGTTAAGCTTCATGCTCATTGCACGTCTCATTGCTCGTTAAATTCATTGAAATTTTTATCTTATTTTCTTAACTATAGGTGAAATTTACTAATACTATATATAGTTTAATATAGACATAAATTAATAAATTAAACAAAAAAATATCAAAAAAGTGTACAAAACAATTTCAAAGTTTAAACTTTAAAGTAACAATCAACAAATATATAAAAAAATTAATAGGGTTTGATTTTTGGGTATAATAAAACATTAACTAATAATTTAATATTTTTTTTATTGTTTATTAAAAAATTAACATATTAGTAATTTATCATCTCTTTTATTATCAATTATTAAATTAGTACTTGAATGAAATAATTTTTTAAGATAATTATTAAAATATTATATAAAAATTAACGAATTACTCACGAATTTATCGAGTCAGGTTAGACTTTACTCGACTCAACTCATCAAGGTCTCGAGTTGAGCACAAGTTTGAGTTAGGTCAACCTAAGTCGAATTTTTATTAAACTTTAACCGAGTCAAGTTCGAGCTGCTCAATTTATTGGTCTTGACTGGTTGTTAGCTTTAGCTAATGGTTGCTCGTTCTGTTTTACAGTTGTTCTAGTAATCGTTTCTGTTGAGGCTCTTGGGCAGACCCAAATTTTTGTCAGATCAAACTTATAGTGTTGATCTGCTAACTTGTGTTAGGCTACATTAACCCTAGTTTTGGGGAGGCCACAATTATATTTTGGCCAACATTCTTTCTTTTTCTTAATCGATTCACCATTTTTTCCTCGTCTCTCTTTTTTGTCCAAGTGCATCCTTCAATATGGTATCAAATGGGGCCGATTCAAGTGTCAGTGGGTTATTGGCTCTCCTTGTTTCTTTTCCTTGAGTTTTCTTTTCCTTTGTTTGGGATATATGTCTGTTTCTATTCCTGTAGTCACTTCATCGGGGGAGGCTAACAATGCCTCACAAATCAATCAGCAACTTTAATTTGTTTTCTCCAATAAATAGGTGAGTGTCAGATTGGATAACCATAATTTCCTTCTCTAGAAACAGCAAGTCACGTTGATGGTCTGTGGTCATGAGTTGGAACACCTTTTAGATGGGTTTGTTTCGGTGCCACCTGAGACGATGATTGGTGCTGATGGAGAACTTATGATGAATTTGGTGTTTTGTGTTCATAAGAAGCTGGACAACTCTCTTGCCTCCTGGAAGTTGGACAGTTAGTTGGTGTTGAGACATTTATGGGTATTTGGAATACTATTATGCAACTTTATTCTAAGTTGACCACAACTAGGGTTATGAGTCTCCATAGTCGGCTAAAGAACCTTAAGAAGGGGGATTTGCCGATTCGTGATTTTTCCACATAGATTAAAGGAATATGTGATCTGCTTACTTCGAGTGGAAGCCCTGTGTCTGAAGTTGAGTAAATTGTGATGCTCCTTAATGGTTTTCCTATGGAATTTGAATTGTTTGTGGCTGCGATTATGGTAAGTCGTGATCCATGTACTTTTGAATCTGTAACCTCTGTGCTTATTGATGCAGAGTCTCACATCGATTATCCTATGATATTTCTGGTGTCGATTAATATGGTGAGACATGATCGTGGGCGTGAGAGAAATAATGGGGATAGGCCTTACTCTGGTGATCAGACTGATGATACTCGTGGTAAAAACTCTTCCAGTAATCATTACAAAGGGCGGTTGCAACATCAATATCAGCTATGTGAGAAGCTTGGCCACTTAGTTTACTGGTGCTGCCATAGGTTTGATCAAGACTTTAAAAGAGTTTCTCCTCAACGCTCCAACTCCAGCAATGATGGGCAAGCCAATGTTTAAAAATATACTTCTCAGTCTGCTGAGTTGTGCTATAACCCTTTTGTGAGTTTCTCTGCAGGGTGTGAAGTTATTGATGAACCTGCTACTACGAACACGACTCATGTTAACTCGCTTGTTGCAAAGGGTGTTCTTAATATGACAGGTAAGTGGTATCCTGATTCAGGAGCCACGCATCATGTCTCGCATGCTAAGCCTTTCACATCCTCTCATACTTATGCAGGTACGGGAAAAGTATATTTGGGTGATGGTTCGACCTTAAACATATCTAGTATTGGGTGTACTTCGCTACCTGCTTTATCTAGGTACTTGAAACTTAATCACGTTCTCTGTGTTCTCAACATTACTAAGAACTTGTTATATGTGTCTAGATTTGCTAAGGATAACAATGTGTTCTTTGAATTTCACCGTGATAAATGATTTGTGATGGATGAGGATGTTGGGTTGGTGCAACTTGAAGGTAAGCTGGACGATGGGTTATATTAGTTTGATGGTTGCAAAAAATTGAATGGTAAGTTGCATCATGTTACTACATCATATAGAATAAAGTTTGATAAGGCTGTTAGCGCTTATTGGCTGTGGCACAAGCGCTTGGGTCATCCTGCACCTAGTGTTGTTCATTCTTTATTTAAAAACATTAGTAATTCTGAAATTTATTATTCTTGTGTTGCTTGTCATTTAGGTAAGAGCCATTGTCTTCCATTTTTCGGTTTCTAATATTGTCTATATTCATCCTTTTGAGCTTGTTGAAGAAGATATATGGGGCCTGCACCAGTTAAGTTTGGTGGTTTTCAGTATTATGTCTCTTTTGTTAACATGTACAGTAGGAACTGTTGGGTGTATCTCTTAAAGAATAAATCAGAGGTTTCGAAAGTTTTTTCTCTGTTTTGTGCTCTTGTTAATAACTGATTTGGCTCTAATGTGTTAGCTCTCTAAACGAATAGTGGTGGCGAGTTTCGTGCCTTGTTAGGGCATCTAGTTGCGGCTGGTATTCAACATAGGGTCTTATGTCCACACACATCACAATAGAATGACATTGTGGAACGCAAGCATCGTCACATAATAGACATGACTCTAACCTTGTTTGCTCAGTCTAATGTTCTATTTAAGTATTGGCCCTTCGTTGTTCTTACGGTAGTGTATTTGATTAACAGGTTAGCATCAAAGGTGCTTGGACACATCTCCCTTTTCAGAAGCTTTATGGTAAAGCGCCAGATTATCAGCTCTGAGGGTTTTTGGTTGCCAATGTTTTCCATGTCTACGACCCTATAACAAACATAAATTTGATTTTCGCTCTAAAGCGTGTGTTTTCCTAAGATACTCTCCTCAACACTGAGGGTACCAGTGCTTGGATGCAAAGTTATCAAAGGCTCAAGGCGCATCGAGGCGCAAAGTGTCCTGGAGCCTTGAGGCGCGAGGCGCATGAAAGGCGCGGGATTCACGAAGGCGAGGCGCATGATATCAAAAAAATTGTAACACATGTATATATTAATGCAATCAAACTCAAATATCATAGATATCCAATATTAGGCTTCAATAGAGTTTATTCTCAAATTCAAAATACCAACCTAATGTCATAAAAGTTATCAACAAGCATAATCAAGTACTAAGTTTAAAAAAAACATTCAACATGCAAAAACAAAACATCAAATAAAGTCACTGATAATCATCATCAAACATCAAACTAATCCTCATCATCATCGTCAAGTGGTATGTCATCATCTTCCTCCTCATCCGTCTCACAATCCCTAATGTCTTTTTCTTCAGTGTCACTCTCCTCTAGCATAACAACTTCATAATCTTCATAATCTTCATCTACAAGGTGTGGTCTAGCTTTTTCCTTTCCTTTCGAGCTTGAACTAGCAATGTTCTTTCTTCTAGTATTATGGTCACGCTCATAAGCTCCGGAAGCTATACCAACATCCTTCCATTTCAAATCGTCATCATCAAACACATAATCTTCATTTTCTTCTTCATCCTCATCCATTCTACCAAGCAACCATTCGTTACTTTCATCAATGTCATCCAAAGAGATTGGATCAATGACATCACGATGATTATAACGCCGCTTTAACGCTCGATTATATTTCACATAGACTAAATTATTGAGCTGAGTTTGCGCAAGTCGGTTTCTTCTTTTGTTATGAAGCTGCCAAATTATAACAGAATAATCAAGAGTCAAAAACATTACTTATGATGTTTCTTAAATGATATCTGAGTTACTTACGAGGCTAAAAATACTCCAATTTCGCTCACAACCACTTGCATTACACGTAAGGCTGAGGACTTTGATGGCAAACTTTTTTAATTCCGGTGCATCATTGCCAAAAGAAGCCCACCACTCAGCTGTAAATATATATTTTAGAACAAGCAAAAATTAAATTTGATTTATATTATTTATATATGTATAAAGAAAGTAACCTGGTGACTTTGCTTCTCTTTGACGTATGCATATTGCCATCCCAAATATACCTTCGGCGTTCCTATAAAGTGACAATTGGTCCTCTATTTTACCTTGATCAACAACACTCAGCACTAATCTCTCAATGCATTTAAGAAACCCGATCATCACCTCCTTATCCTCTTGAATTTGGGGATTTGAGTAGAATAACTGAGGATTCAAATAACACCCGGCCGCGTGTAATGGTTGATGGAGTTGACATTCCCACCTTTTGTCAATAATTGCAAACACATCTTTGTACTTGTCCTCCACATTATTAAAGGAGTTTGCAATTGCTTCTTTTGCCCTATCCATGGCCTCATATACATAGCCCATGGCCGGCCTTTTTTCACCATCAACTAACCTAAGCACTTTTACGAGAGGACCCGTCATCTTAAGGATATACACAATTGTACTCCAAAAGGTAGGCATCAAAACAATGGATGCGACTCTTTTACCGCCATGCTCTTTTGAGTATTTACTCTTCCTCCATTCATCAGAAGTAAACATCTTTCTAAGGTTTGCCTTTTGAACTTGTATTGAACGAAGAGTGATGTAAGCGGTGGCAAATCTGGTTATCGGGGGTCTCACCAACTCTCTTTTCCCGGTAAACTTCCTCATCATGTTTACAACACCTGTACGGCTATATATAAACCCATTTAAGGCTATTGCTCTCTTCAACGTGACACGAACTTTCGAAATCTTTCCTATGTCTTCAAGCATCAAATCAAGACAATGAGCAGCACATCGATTAATCGAATTGTTGCTACTTTCTTGTTCAACGTCGCAGTATCCAGTCGAATAAAAGGAGGAAGCGAACGATCGATAGATTAGTATGTATGGATTAGAAGGCCGATTAACAGTAGATTGATGGTTTTAAATAAGAAAGGAGAAGGAAAAATAAGAAAATGAGACTCTTACATGTAGTTAGAGCCTTAAAAGACAAATCAAATAATAATAAAATATTTTCTTTAAAAAAAATTAAAATGAAGATAAGATAGGATAAGTTTATTTTGAAATTTAATATTAAAATTTGTGTTCTGTGAAATATTATTATTTAAATTAGTATAATGTAAATTTCATAATAATTAAATTAGATTTCAAAATAAATAAATTTAATTATTTTAGTAAAATTCGAATAATTTAAGTATACATACTCACAAAACTTTTAAATCATAGATTTATATCCTTCACTTGGTTATTAATCAGTAAGTTAATTAAACATTCTTTTTAATCTATGCTAATACATAGAAGTACCCTTTCTTTCCGAGTTTCATCAGTTAATCGCAATGCATTCCTATTATAGGTTTGCTTAATTTTTAGACTGTCACAAATTTTGATGAGCGGAAAAGAAAATATCAAATACTGATAGATAAATAAACTTAGGTGAAGAAAGGTCCAAAAACGATTACAAATCTTATTTGTTTGAAACAACATAACAAAAATGGTCGTTCATTTTTGCAGACCATGTATGCATAGAAGAGAAGGCCCTGCAGTAATAATTACAAGGTTTTAAGCCCACATCGCGTCTCAATTGCGCCTCGACTGAGCCTCGCGCCGTGCCTCGCTTCAGTGTTGAAAAAGCCCTGTCCAGTGAGCCTCTGCGCTTTTGTGCCTCAGGCGCGCTTTTTACAACTATGCTTGGATGAGGTAGGGCAAATCTATGTATCTCGTAATGTTCGTTTTAATGAATTATATTCTTTTTTTCCAAAATTTCGCAGATAGATCTATGTCTAAGTGTGATATTGGTGTAGCTGAGTGGTATGTGCCATTTCTTGAAATTGGCCGATGTGTTTTTGGTGGTGGTCCATTGATATGCGAATCTGGCTCTACTCGATCTATTGGCTCTATCTCGTTACCTCATGGTGATGATTCAATGATGGTACCTCTTGTTACCTTACCTTTTGCTTCTGTTTCATTGCTTCATATTGATGGACAAAATTATATAAGTCTTATTGTGTCTACCTCGATGCCTCCCATTATTTCTGTGAGTCATAAGTTGGTGCCAAATGCTGAGACTAATGATTTTGGTGGGGACTATAGTGTTCCTGAGGAGTGTGATGGTGCTAGTGGTGGCATGAGTCTGTCTCATGGTCCTCTTGCTGACAAGCAACCTTCATGGAATCTAATTGTCTACTTTCATCCTATGGTCACTCGTAGTAAAGAAGGGTTTATGAAACCTAATTATAATACTTGTAATACCTCAAAATTTTGGTTAGTGACCAAAATGTAAATTTTGAAAGTTTAGTGGCAAAGTATAAAATGGAAAATTTTAAGGACCTAAGTGGTAATTTTACCAAAAATAATTTTTATTCCATAAATGGATAGCTTACTCTTGAGATTGGGGTTTTATTGAAATCATATTCTTGATTCGGAATTGGTGTTAAAAACTAGAAAGTGTTAAAGTCTGGTAAAAATTTGGTAAATTGGATCGAATAGAAATTTTTATAAAATTTGAAGGATGATAAATTAAGCTTAGAAATATTATTTCCTCATTTTAAAATGATGGAAAATAATATGGAGTATTGGATTTGAGAAATAATTTCCATGTTCAATTTGGATCGTTGAATGAAAAATGACAAGATTGAAATTTTGGAAAAATTGCTTGGGAAAAGTTTTAAAGGGTAAATTAATTTGTTTATATTTGACTTTAAAAATATGATAAGGGTTATGTGACTTGGTATGGATGTAATTATTAAGTTTCATTAATGGTAAAATTGTCATTTCTCATTAAATATATTTTATATTCATTTAAGCTTAAATACTTGATAAATTACAATGAAATTAACTAAAATTTCATGAAAACTTGGTCACATTTCTCCTTCATTTTGTGGACTTTATACCCTAAGTAAGAGAATTTTTATTTTTTCATTTTAAGCCAAATTTATTAGGTTTTTGGATTAAGACGTGAAATAGATTTTTTTATTTGATGAGGTTTATCGTTTGGTAGCATTATTGCATGTTAATCTTGTTTGAGTTCAAAGATCCCAAATTCTAGGGTTTATGTTCATATTAGGGTTTATTGAATTGATGATAGATTTTGAGGTTTTTAAGGTTGTAGAATCATTTCCAAGCTTATTTGATGATTAAATCATGATCAAACCTCCTAGAAATGCATTTGGTAGTTTCGGCCTAACTCTAAAAATTAGCAGAAGTTGTGATTTGATGAAATTTGATTAGGACTTTGATTGTAGAGATTTTATAAGGTTTAATAGAGTTTGATTTTATGCTCGAATCGAATCAAAACCAAGTGAAATCTTGGAACCCTAGACTTGTACTATTTGGCCTTGGCTTTTGAGGATGAGAAAAATTATTTAGGGGCTAGAAATGATGTAGGAAGTATTCTATAAGTCTTAAAAAAATTTGGGGACCATTTTGTAATTTTATGAAAGTTGGGGATATATTCAACAATTATGGAAAATTATGGGATCTATGTGTAATGGTTCAATAGTTGATGTACTATGCTGGAAATTAATGTTAGAGTGTTGAAATTGATGTTAGAATGTGAAATTGGATCACTTTGGAAACTTGGTAAGTTTGGTGTGTAGTTTGGTGTGTAGTTTGGGAAGTTTGGAGGGTTTAAAGATAATTATGTAATTGTAAATGTACTAGATTGATTATGTTGATTCGATGCTGGAATTTTCAGTATTGAATTTGAATTTAGCAAAGAGTAAAAGACCATTTCCAATGAAACGGAAAAGTTGAGATGAATTCATAAAGAACTCATAATTTGTGGTTAAAAAGTTGAAAATGTTATGTGAAGTTTGATGAATTTAGGTAAAAAGGGATTTGAACGGTCAATTTTAAGTGTAATGGTCAACAATTATGTTGTGACATAGAATTAGTATTGAATAGCATCGAAAGAATTTTTAGGAAATTATTTTCTATTGTGTGCTTATGTTAGTAAGATTCTAACATATGGTTTGAATTTGTACATGTTTGTAATTATGCTCATTTATATTGTGTGCTTGAAATAAAGATCAAGAAATATTAAAGTCGAGGGAAAGCTTAAGGATGAAATGTGAATTTTTAAGGAAGGTTTACAAGCCAAGGACACAAGGTGAGTGCAAATTTAATTTATACGTATGTTATCAAACAAACATTGGCTTGCGATGAGCCAGTGATGGAGTTACTATAGTAAGAAGTGACTCCTAATTGTTATGTGTTTTGTGGTTCATGCATTTTTGTTCATTTGTTGAGCTAATAGAATTAATGAATAAGCTGGAAATGCAAATTGGTGAAATTTGTCATGATTTGTGATCAGAATAATAAGTTTAGAAAATCATTGGAAATTATAAAAAAAATAATTAGAGGATGAATCTTACACCGTTGGATAGATATATCAGTCTAGTTTTGTTTAAAAAACGGATACTAATTCTGATGAGTATACAAAAAGATATGAATTTTAATCGAGGATAGGTCAGAAAACAGGGTAGCAGATTCTGCTCAAAATAGCTTATGTAAGTCAGCTTTGAAAATTCATTATAAATTATACAAATTGAACTAGAAAAAGTGCCTTCTATGGTTATATTTTTATTCGAGTCTAATTTTCATTGGTATAAACGGAATAATTTTTAAGTGTGTAGATTAATAAAAAATAATATTTCTTTAAAGTTAGTGCAAACTGCCAGAGTAGTAATTTACGATAAATTTTGTAACCGAAGTAATCGAAAGCGGAGGAATAAACCTAAAGCTTAGTGAGACTTATATTTTGGATTATAAATAAAGTGTCAAAGCGAGTGCATTATTTATTTAAGTTATATCTAACTGAGTAAGACTTGTGATAAATCAACCTCGGATGATTTAAAAGAAAAGTTTGAATTAAATTATTGGATATTTCCATGCTGATTAACGAAATGACTTATGATATATTTGGATATGAAATATCCATTATATTTTACATGATATTTTACGAAAATATATTTGAATGAAATTTAAAAAATGAATTTTAAGCAAGAACGGCTCAAAGTATGTTATGTGATATCTGTATTTTTTATTATGAATGGTTTCGGGTATGAATTGCCCAATGCACTGGTTTTGATAAATGATATTGAAAAATGCTACTTATTGGAAATGTTGAATTATAAATGATATGAATTTAAAGTAAAGCCCATTGTATGTTACATTGAGAGTCGTAGGTACAATTGGCATGTCATGAGGTGGAGTGATTCTGATTCTGATATGGTACATTTGGTACATTCTATATCGCACCATTGGTGTAAATGATATGATTGCACTTGGAGTGCATAGTATGAGTTTGATGAAAACACTGAATTGCTTATTGCGCACACTCGTCTGACTCACATTCCTCGTCTGACTCACGTGCCTTGCATTCTCATAAATATACATTGGGCTATAAATCTGAAAGTAAAGTTATGAATCTGAAAGTAAAACTATGAATCTGAAATAAATTATGAATTTGGAAAGTTATGAATCTGAAAATAAAAGTTCTAAAATATATCTGAATGAAAAGAATATGACATGATTATTATGTTTGATATTGATTATCATGGTTTTGTCAAAATCATGAGATGATGATTTTTCAGGTTTCTGATGAGGAATAACGACTTGAATAAGTCGATTTGAATATTTAATGATTTTATTTAAATTCAAGTTTAAAGTTTTAAATTATTATAATATTATTAAGTTGTATTATATATGATATCACTTTAGTTTATTTATAATGTTTCACTAAGTGTATACTTGGTGTGTGATGATTTTCACACGTAGATAAGGAAGAGGAAACGAAGTAAGGAGTTGAGCTTGGCAACAATTAATCAAGAATAATTACAGGTATCAGTAATGACATCCTATTATTTGCATTTATGCGAATAAGATATTCTTACGATATATAGTTATAAATATAAATATGAATCTAAGATATGTGAGTAAAAAAATTATATTTTTATCAGAATAAAAAACATTTTAAATTAGACGATTATCGACAGTTTATTTTATGATAGGAAACAATATAGTACTATCTAGTTGATGCCTAAAACTGTTATTGATTTGGGTGATCTAAATATTATATTATGATATTACGTGACTAATTTATTATATAGAAATGATTAAATTGGATAATTTTAAACAAGCAAATTTGTACCTATTTTTCAGCTTTAAAATGTCTGTAAATGTTATGTGACATCTTTGATTACAATACCTTTCTTAATGACATACTGCTCTTAATCATGAGTAATGAAGGGCGGTTGTTGAGGTTGAGTACAAAGCTCTCATCGATAATGGAACTTGGGACTTAGGTGCCCTTGCCTGTTGAACATAAAGTAATTTGTTGTAAGTGGCTCTTTCGAATCAAATACAATCCTGATGGGACTGTCAATTTGCACAGGTTGGTGGCTGAAGGTTACTCTCAAGTTTTAGGGTGTGATTTCTCTGAAACGTTTAGCCCAGTTGTTTAATTCTTTACTTTAAACGTTTTGTTGTCTGTTGCTGTCACTAGTGGTTGGCAGGTGCATTAAGTTGATGTCAATAACGCGTTCCTTAAGGGTGATCTACAAGAGGATGTTTACATGAGTCAACCCGAAGGGTTTGTGCAAACTAACTGTCAAGGTGGTCCTTTAGTTTGTAATTTGAAAAAGGCTCTTTATGGACTCTGGCAGGCTCCTAGAAACTGGTTTTTTGAGCTGCCTGAGTTTTTGTGTTCGTTGGGATTTAGGTCTTCATGTGCAGACATTTCTCTTTTTTATATATAAGGTTCATGATGTTGTCACTTACATCGCGATTTATGTTGATGATATTTTAATCACAAGCTCGTCTGAAAGTCATGTTTGTTTAGTTATTCAGGAACTCAATACTAAGTTCTCCTTGAAGGATCTTGGATTGATTCACTATTTTTTGGGAATAGAGATAGTTCGGTCGACAATTGGTCTCTTTTTACATCAACGGAAGTTTGTGGAAGAACTAATGGTTAAATTTGGTATGCATACATCTAAGCCTGTAGATACCCCGATTACTGTTACTCTAAAATTGACAAAGTTAGGTGGCAGTGCCTTAGTTGATGCCACTGTTTATCGTAGTGGTGTAGGCGCTTTACTGTATATATGTCATACGAGACCTGACATTTTGTTTGATGTTCATAAGATTGCTCAGTTTATGAAGGAGCCACGTGAGATGCATTGATCCTTTGTTAAGCGTATTATGCGCAACTTAAATGGTACCTTGGACTTTGGTTTATAGATGGCTACTCAACATGCTCATGTCTTGGTAAAAGCCTTCTCTAATGTTGACGGGGATAGAAATGCGGATGATCTTCGCTAGGTGTTAGGATATTGCGTCTTGCTCGGACATGTGTTGCCATGGAACTCAAGGAAACAAATATCTATTTCCAGGTCTACTGCTGAGGCCGAATATCACAGTTGGGCTGATGCTACTTCTGAGGTCTTGTGGATAGGTGGAGTGTTAGCCGATATGGGTGTTGATGTCTCTCAAATTCCGGTTGTTTGGTGTGATAGTACGAGCACAGTGGCCATGGCAGCTAACCCTGTTCTGCATGTTAAAGTTAAGTATGTGGACTTAGATGTTCATTTTGTCCGTGAGAAGGATCTTCATAAGATGTTGGAGGTCAACTATGTTCCAACACAATTTCAGGTTGCAGATATCCTTACTAAGCCTTTACAACTGCTCAGTTTCAATTGTTGATTAGCGGTCTGCGAGTGCAGTTTCTGAGTGTGTTGCAGGATGCAGGTTCTTAGGGGTTTTTTCGTGGAGAAAAAGGAAAATGTGGTGAATATTGGAATGTTGGTCTTGGCTGGTTGTTGGTTTTTACTGATGGTTGGTTCTGTTTTACGGTTGTTCTTGTAACCGTTTCTATTCAGGCTCTTGGGCCGACCTAACTTTTTGTTAGATCAAACCTATAGTGTTGATCTGCTAAGTTGTGCTATGCTATATTAACCCTATTTTTGGGGAGGCCACAATTATCTTTTGGCCAACATTCTTTTGCTTAATTGATTCACCTTCGTTACCTAGTCCCTCTCTTTTTGTCCAGGCACATCCTTTAATAAGGGGCAACATAGGTAAGTGAGGCGCATGTGTTCATTCTCTTCGTTTTTCGAGAAACATTCGCCCTTGCATACAAACCCCGTAGGGAAAATTTGTAGGTGTTGCCCTTATGTAACAAAGTACATCAGAGAATGTTGATTATTTTGCTTTTTAGGATTGCATTTCGATTGATTATTTTATGATAGGAGGTATTCCATGTTCACCGCATCCTTTATTGATGGGATCAAATGGATGATGGTGGCTACTGGTGGTTCATCTCTTCTGCTTTGAATGAAGAGTCGCAGTCGATGGGAGATCAATATTTGGTCGGTCTCAAGATGTCTATCTCCATAAAGAGAGACCAAAAAAATATAGGTGAGGTGATTTTATAGAGGTCCCACTCGTCTCTCAATGTTGCTCGAGAGGTTATATATGAACTCATTAGTACGTGTGTCATCCATAGAGTTATAATGACTAATCGTAGGCTAACAGATAAGTGAATACAATAAAGTGATGATGAATTTGACTCTGATAGGCCATGCGGACCTATTAGAAATCATATTAGTTAATTACGACTTTCCGAATGACGTTAGGCAGTCGAGGTCCCATTTCCAAAGATGTACTCTATATTTTATGAAATTCTAGTATATCAGAGGTACTCTGAGATCCTCATGTGATTATAAGGCATGAAGATAATTTCATGCGAAGAACACTTTAACGAGTACAATGATATTTTTATTCCAACAAATAAACACCACATAAATATAATACTAGAAAATAACAAAAATGCATAATACAAATCATTAAAATATAAATCGTAACAGTCAAGTATGTACGTATTTATCTTCAATATTATAAGCCCTATATTAAACAATTTATTATATTATTTGTAGGGTTTGTTGGGTACCCAAATAAACAGAAATGATAAGCACAAGTGTATTTTTTTAGCATTGGAGCTCCAGTAATCCTCAAAAACATGAAACTTAGAAAAATCTAACCATACGCGTTTGAAATACAACTTCAACCGTACACTCCCATTGAATCCCAGTAACATTTTTAAAAATACTATTTTCTATTACTTGCAATAATTACAAAATAATATTTGTTCTTAACAATGAATACTCAAACATATTTGTAAATGATGTATAAGAATTCAAAACCTCTAGAAATAATAATTATTTTTTAACCACTGAAATTGTTTAGTTCATGCTGAATCAAATCTGAGTAACATACGTTCTAATCACAATCCTAGTCCTAGACACCAAACTGACAGCAGATACCGAACCCACACGATGGGCCACGGCTCTAGTTAAAGATCTGCTTGTTACTGCAGAACAAGGAATTCTTGTGTGCCAGCTACCATACTGTGGTGGAAGCTTTCAGTGATGGCATCGTCTTCTTCAAGTGAAGGCTTCTCAAGCAATGTCTCGATGCCATTTTCAATAACACCTTCACTGCCTGCAACAGCTTCAAAAATAACACCTTCACTGCCTGCAACAGCTTCAAAAATAAGTTCAGTGACTTCAAGAAACCTCTCGTCTGAGAGAGAAACCTCGGCAAGGAGCCTCCAAGCATTTTCTTCAGATGCGTCATCATAGTCCTTCCACCTTTTTAACACCATATGACCGCTTATTTCCCACACAGCAGGGTTCACCTGGGTGTCCAAAAGCTCTGGACTCACTTCACCCAGAGCTTGTTTCTCAGCATAACACTGTTCCAAGTCTATTGTAAGTACTACCAATTTCATGTAGATTGGTAAAATTGTGTTGATAAGACAATAAGGTTCTAGTTTGTTACCTGTGGAAGGAGAAAGATCCGCTTTCCACAATCACAGATGAGGACATTGTATGGTATGTTGTTTTCTTGGAGGCAAATGCAGGCATCAGATACAGTGTCGGACAAGTTCTCGACAGTGTTACCACCCACGAAAACAAGACCTCTCACTGGATACTCTAAGAGCTCCGAGACAACAACTCCACCGATAAAAGTAGTTAACTTCTTGGTTGGAGCTTTCTCGATGGGGAAGGACACAGCTAAATAGTAAGCCTGGACCAATTCAAATAGTTAAAAACCTTTTTTCTGTGTATAATTATATCTCAAAATACCAGATAAGGAGATAGAATAACTGGAAGTGAAGGTGATTGATGGTAGCAAATGCACCCAAGCTGTTGTAACCCAATCTGAAGTATGGATTCCCGGCTTCAGCTGCCATGTAAAGTGCAAGCAAGAAGCTCTCCCGATTAATCCTCTGGGGTAAGCATTCAAAAATCTGAGGGATCAACAACACATGTCCATATTCAATGGGACTAACCTGTAGAAATGTAAATGAAAGATGTTAATCTTATGAGTCTAGCATTCTTCATCAAATCGTTATGTGCATATAGAACAAGTAAAACTAACATACATTAATGGCAACGACACTTGGAGAATTCTCGACATCAATAGGAGAATTTGGAAAGTACTGAGCTTCACCATCATAACTTGCTTTAAACTGGAAAAGCACCTCTTCTTGCCCAACTTTGGTGAAGTTGAATTTGTTGCCATCAAAGGGCTGAAGCACCTTATCAACACGGAACTCAGTTGGCCTCTTCTTAAGGTGACGACCCTCGTTCAGTTGGGCAAAAAAGCCATATTCATCAGGAATCACCTAAACAAAGAAAATAATGGGAAATTTTCATGGCAACACCACCACAACTCAGTTAAGCAGAAAATTTATAGCTTTAACAATTAGCAGATAAACAAATAAAGCAAGGAAATGTAAAATGAAGTCCAAAATAAGACCTTGGTTTCGCATGCCGTGACATGATAGCGAAAGAGCCCTCTTTGCATCCGATCCTCCCACTAACATAAAACCAAAATTTCCTTTCAAGCTCACAATTTGTAAATACGAAAATTACTATCCGTAACAATGATCTTTCATCTCCTTCACCACGAGCTTAAAATCAAAATTTACCTCTCCAAGAACGAGTATGTCGAGAAAAGAAACTGGAGGCTCTTTGTTCTCAGTTTTAAGGACGTTTTCTTCAAGCTCCATGTTGTTCACCTTCTTAAAAGCATATAAAGGAACCTTTGCTCCTAAAAACCAAAACCCAGATTCAGTTACAGCTCATTTCTATTACAACTAATCAAATCAAGCAAGGTTTTCAAAGGAAAATGAACAAATACCTGGAATGCAACAGCTTCTAAGGCAATTCTTTCCACATCCGACGCTACGACGAGCAGCATCCTTTGCCTCATCCTTTTGGTAATTCGAAACAACAGTGGGAATCCTCTTAATCCTGAGCATCATCTTGGCTACAATTTACCGTCTTTCTTTATCCAATAAATATCAAATAAAGGAATACAATAGCCTCTTTTTTCTACTTACGAGAGATAAAAAAAATGCTTCAATATACTAGAAGTTATCTTTATATATTACTGAAAATCTAAGAGACAATACCCCCACCAGCAAGGAAGAGGAGATCAGAAGGACTACCGCCTTCAGAAGGCAAAGCTCCGCGACCACCGTGCGGCGAAGGGTTGCTCTCGATCACACAACCCTTACGTCGTACAGTATGGACATGATTAACAGGCCGAGAAACTCCGTGTATAGCCGTGATGTCCACAATTTGTCTAACCCTTGATATTACCCCCCCCCCCAACAAAACAAAACAATTGAAAACCAATTTAACCAAATACCCAACCTCCTCAGCTTCAAGCTTCTTTTTCTGGTGGTGTGGGGTGAAAGGAAGAAATGAGGAAAAGATATATAGATAAGAGAGTTGGTGTGGCGTTTGTATTTGGGAGGGATTGTGGGTATTATTGCTGTGACAAGGCGAGAAAACTTAAGGAGAAAGTAAGTGGCCCTGGTGAATCGTTCAATGAGGCGGTTTCTCTGTGAGAACCATTAACTCGAAAAAGGGGATGAAAAATCTAATTACTTGTTCGAAATTTGGGTTTTCTCTGTTTAATTGAGGGGGGAAAAAAGATTTTGAAACAAATCTAAGACGCTCGATGTCCTCTGGCTTACAATACAAATGTTTTGAGTAAAATCACGTTTAATGCCCCAATTATCATTTTTTTTTGTTTTGGCCACTTAATTATTTTTTTAAAATTTTATCTAATATTATGTTTTTATTTCATTGTGAACACCCACCGTTAAAAGAAGTAAAAGAACTGTTGACATGACATTTTTAAAAATTTTCAATGATGATATGACATTATTTTATGATGACATGTCAACATCATCGTTAAAAATTAATTGTGAGTATTTAAAATGAAATCAAAATATAACATTAGATATGATTTTAAAATAAAAAATATTTAGGTTATCAAAACGGATTAAAAACAAAATAAAAATGATAATCTTTAGCAAAAGATTGTTTAAGTTTTTAGCTAATCAATTTTTAGGTGAGATTAAACCACCTAAAAAATTGGGTTATTTTAATAAAATTTTAAATTTTACTAAAACAACAATTTTGATATGCAAAATCAAAAAACAATTTAAGAAGTCATTTAGGTTTGAGAAAGAATTAACACTCTCACAACGCCCAAAATTCATACATAGTCGATTATCTACTATTTTAATTTGGAATCAACGAGTTTATTTATTTTTTAATTTATGATTCGTTACATATGCAAATTTTGAAATAGGTATTGATTTATTTCGAGAATTAACAATGATCACCTCTAGACAAAAACGAAGATTATATTATAAATCCTTAATATACGATTATTGACTTAGTAATTTTTAAAATTATGGTATGTAAATTTAAAAAGAGATAAAAAATTATTTCAAGAAATAATAATAGTCACCATTAAAAAAGCAGATATTATATCATCAATCCTTAATAAATTAATAAATAATATTGCCTTAAGAATTTTCGAAATCACGGTATGCAATCAAATAATAGATTATTAAACCTTAAGAATATCACAGGTCAGTTAATTATATTTACAAAGACAAAAAAGATAAATGAAAGAAGAATGATTACTGATTGATTATTTTCGTTTTAGAAATAAACAATTTTGAAATATTATATAAAAGATTTTATAATATATAAATATCGATCTATATTAGACGAACACGTATCAAGTGATTTTCGTGATAAAGGGACTATTATTATATTCATTAAGAATTCGAGTTAGAACACCATAGATGTTAGAGATGTAAATGTTCAATGTCCAAAAGATGGAGTTATTTTTAAAGATATACTACATTTACTTACCCATATTAATTAAAAAAAATATATTAGATGCATGTCTAAAATCTAAATACATTAAATACATACAAATCCATTCATTCCGGATTGAATTGAAACTTGCCACAAAACTGCCAACTTTACAGTTAAAAGTAAGGTTTGATATTTTCATCAGTTTGTCTTATAATTTATAAATATACCACGTGAAAACCCTCAATCCTCTACCTGAACTAATCACTCACCTCGCATCTGAACTCGGCTTTTGACATTGTTGCCGTATCCCCCTGCAACTTGCTTTGGTTCATCGAATTTAAGTTGATCAAGATCGATAATCTTTTGAGAGTGAAACTTCTCATATTCTAAAAATCCGGCTCAACTTGTACATCTGCAAGAACCAGAAAATTAAGATAAAAAAAGATCTCGAGAGCTCGACTGAAATACTGGATTTGTTGCAAGAACATTAGGTTGAACGAAGATTTACGTTGAAAGAATCTCAATCTTTGCTTGCACCAACTTTAACATCAGCAAGTACATAATGCCGAGTGTAACAGGTCGATTGGAACTCGTAAAAAGAGAACAACATAATTTCATCAGAGCCTAACAAACCTGTGCAATCCTAATATGTAGTGGGACCTCAATGCAATTCCGTTGACCATCACCCTGTGAAAATTATGGTGATGGATTGTTACCATAAAATTCAACAAATATATTCAGGTAAGTTAATTACTGCCTTATGCTAACGGTTCGATGCAGATACTGTTCCTCCTTTATGAGCCCCTGGCCTCCGTATCGTATTTCATCGGTGTTCAGTATGACCTGTAACACCATATCATATTTCTTCAGTATTTTAATTGAGTAGGGAAGCTACTAAACCGTAAATTATGCCTGATGCATGAGCGCCAGTGTTCCTCAAAATGAACAGACACAAAACTTATACGGCAGCAAACACATAAAAGAAGTTACGAGGAAGAAAATTCCGTAACAACCCGAACTAAACATTGTCGTTACCTGATACTCTCCGGCATCGTCCACACCAACGCAGTATCTTTCATATGAATCCATGGGGTGAAAGTTAAATACGAAGAGAAGAGGACCTCTTATGTAGGATATAACCTGTGGATATATAAGTAACAAAATTAAAACGCAGATAATTCCATACCATATTAATCCGGCAAATAGCTGAGCTAACTATAAGAAACAGATAGAAGGAGACATCAGACATACCATATTAGTGTCGTTCACATGGTGGATACTAGGCAATCCTCTTGCAAGTACCTTTTCATTTTTGTCCAACTTCATCATGTCCTAAAAGTTGAGAAGAAAAAATAGTAAGATTTTGCAACAAATGCCGATTTTGCTTGAAAATTTGCAGCCAAAGCTAGAAAAGTGATGACGGTAATTGATAACATATTTGCTATGATGAACACGGGAAAGGGAAATGGTAATCGAATAATGCATATGCATTAATAGCTCTGGCACATATTCCGGTTCTTAAGTTGCAAGAAACATAAAGAAATCGACCTTAGCACATGTACATGTCAATATAAAGTGCACTACTGTATTCTAATTGGATTTTGCAACCTTGTCGAAGCGAAATAAATCCCGGTATACTCCTTACTTCTCTAAAAGATCCCAGCATCTGTTAGCCAGTGAAAATGAGAAGTTGTTGCTTGGCACCCTCTGAAAAAGTCGAAAAACATTTATAACAAGAAACAAAGTCTTCCAGGATAAGTAAAAGGAAAATCATCCTCACTTTTGGATGCCCGAATTCGTTCCCCCATGAAGTTCAGATACCCATGGCCACCAATCGTGAAAGTAATCAGTTTGATCATCTAGTTTAAGGGAAAGAAAATCGATTAGGAACCAACGTACCAGATAAAATAACTGAAGCTTTTTTTCTATCAGTAAAACACACACATACACACATGAAAATTATGACAGCTACATGTTGCAAGCTGTTACTCTGTATGTATGTGTACTGTATACTCATTCTTTATAAGTTTTTCATATATTTGAAGGGTCATACGAAAACCCAATCTAGAATAATGCTTGACGCATATAACCCTAATGTCAGAATCATTCTTTTGAAAAACAATTAATTATTTTTTTAAAAAACAACTATGACTTTTTATTTGGAAATTGACGATTTTGGATTAATTTGAATTAAATTGAATAGGAGTCGTCATCGACCTTTGAGTTAAGTAGGTCGAATACCTAAAAATGTCTTTTAAAACTATTTTAAGAAAAATCGTTTTTTAAGACAAAAATTGGTCTGCGTATACCAAAAATCTAATTTAACAGGTTCGAGAGTCGGTTACGCGTAGGGAAGGATAAACACCCCCACAGTGCCCAAAAACCGGTACTTAATTGCTTACACGTTGTCGTAATGGTGAAAATTGTGAATTTGCATCGATAATTAAAGTATGATTCATTTATTAAAGTTAATTAATTTATTTTGACTTATTTGTTAGGTAAAATACTTTAACTTGAAAAGAAATCTTGAGATTAGCAGTCCTCCATCGGGAAAACTATCTCGTCTATTTCTTATTTGTAAATAATATTCCTTCCTCCATAAAAACTTGAATCGAATATGAATGGAATATCGACAATTTGCAAACAACCAAATAAATTGCTACATAGAAACGCATTGAATCATAAAAGATTTAATTAATAAAATAAACTAGATTTATTTCATTTCGTTCAAACGTCATATCGGATTGTACTACTTCGATCAAGTGATACTTTCCACGCCCATTTTACAAATATGTGTTCTTGAAAATATTCAGATATCTCATATCGCATAAAATTTAATTAATAAATAAACATATTATGATAACCAACATATACATACATAAATATATAAAGTAAAAAAATTAACATAATATACATATAAGCATACATATATACACTAATTGAAATAAAGAAGCTTATACAATAAATACATTTTTCTCGAGAAAAAATCTTTAATCACAACACACGTTTCAAACAAATACATCTAATACATACATAAGTAAAAATATAACTACATATACATTGCCAGTGAAAATGAAACACATATATGTCATACAATAATTTCAGGGACTAAAAGATAACAGAAACAGAATAAACATGACCTAATGAGAATAAACCACAAGTACTAAGGCACTAAAAATGGAGACTAAAAGGAACATAAATCAAATAACAGGCTCGAAATAGTAATATAACATTTTCATTAAGTGACCAGAATTAAACTTGTACAAAATAGAGACCCTCCTTGCGTGATTTACCCGTACGCCGATAACATGAAACCTTAAGGCCCAAAACGGCGTCGTTTCATTTGGTGGTTATATGCCACTTTAAGGGTTTAAAAACCCTCTCTTCTCACCTTTCATCCTCTTCCCCAAAAAAAAGAAAGGAGAGAGTTTTGAACTCTCCCCCCAAATCCTCCAAATAGCCGATCCACGGAGTTTCCAACTACTGAGAGGCGGTCGGCGCTTGAAATAACCACCCATAGAACCCCGATTCTCCCTCATTTTTCTAAAAAAAAAACCTTTCACCCTAGATCTGAATGGTATAATGGTTACCTTCGAACCTTTGTGGCCTTGGCTCGGTGAAAATCCCAGCGGTGATGGCTCGAAAGGTAACCTTTCAGTTCCTCTCTCTCTTTTTCTTTTTGTTTGATTTTTTTCTCTTTTCTATCTTTTTTTTTCGTGTACACTCGAATGCTTCCCTTTTCTCTGTCTTTTTCGATTTATGGTGCTCTCTGGATAGATATCATGAGATATAGGATATAGGGAATGGGTTTCTGATTTAGGGTTGGTAAAATCCTAAATTTTTAGGTATTTAGGGCATTTTTTAATTTTAGGGTTTTGATTTGGTTTGTTATTGGCTGATTTGTTTTCTGTTCGACAGGTTAATGACGATTACGGTTCGAGATGTTATCGGTGGTGGCTCACGCACATGTCTAGGAGTTGAAGAGTACACGCACCGGTGATGGACGGTCGAGCTTCTGTGAACGACAGCGGCGACTGGATGAATTAAGGTTTAGAAACCATGCTTCTTTTTTGGGTTAAAAATGGGCTTGGATCTTGGGCTTGGTATTGGGTTGGGTTGGGTCGGATCCTGGGCTGTTGGGCCTAGTACTAGGTTGGTTCGGGTATGAAATCTGGGTCCCTAGTGCTATTGGGTTGGCTTGTAATGGTGGGTTGTTGGGCTTCCAAAAAATGTATATATTGTATTAATAAAAATAATAATAAAATAATAATTAATAATATTTTTTAAGACTCAGGAAAAAAACGGGTGTCTACAACTGCCCCTCTTTGCACATTCTCGTGTTAACAAGAATAGGGCAAAGACGAAAAAGGCAACAAGTTTTTGTCTAGTTTTTTTTGGAAACTTGATATGTTTGTTGATGAGGACGACACTGCTCATAGGTGCTGAAGAGTTCTGGTCGTCTAAGGGTGACACGGCTCCTACGTGATGAGGAGATCTGGTCGGTGGATGACACTGTTCCTATGTGATGAGGATGTCTTGGTCATCTTTAGGGATGATGATAACACAGTTCCTACGTGATGAGGAGGTTGGTTATCTAAGGGTGACACGACTCCTATGTGATGAGGAGATATGGTCAGTGGATGACACGGTTCCTACGTGATGAGGACGATAATATGGTTCCTACGTGATGAGGATGATTGGTTATCTGAGGTTGACACAACTTCTACATGATGATGAGGTCTGGTTGGGGGATAACACGGTTCCTAGGTGATTAGGACAGCTGGCCATCTTTAGGGATTTATTTCAAGAGAAACTGTCTCAAAAGAGACAAAATTTTTGTTTCAAGGGAAACAGACTCAAAGATGATGTTTCAAGAGAGACAAAATTCATTTCAAGGGAAACAAGCTCAAATATGATTGTTTCAAGAGAAACTGTTTTAAGAGAGAAAAAAAAAAATTTGTTTCAAGGGAAACGATCTCAAAGATGATGCTTCAAGAGAAACAGTCTCAAAAGAGACAAAACTTTGTTTCAAGGGAAACATACTCAAAGATTTTATCAATTTTGTTTCCAGTGAAACAACTTCATAATTTGTATTTTAAAGAAAAGCTGTCTCCAGTGAGACGAAATTTGTTTTGAGAGAAATTGTCTCAAGCGAGACAAAATTTGGTTTTAAGAAAAATCGTCTCTAGCGAGACGACACTTTGTTTCGAGAGAAACAATCTCAAAGGTGACATACAATCTTCTTGTTGTGAGACAAAATTTGTTTTTAAGAAAAACTATCTCTAGTGAGACAACACTTTGTTTCGAGAGAAACAATCTTAAAGGTGGTAGACAGTGCTTGTTCATGCATCTTGAGGAAATGCCTTCAGAAGATCTGACCGTTCACTTCAAGATGTTGAATCTCCAAAGATGCCCCAACATTCATCATTTCTTGCTTCAGCTCTGATTCTAAGCATGAGCTTTGTGCATGAGAGCAACATGTCAACTACCAAGATCCATTCTAGAGAGATTGTCTTGTTTGAAAAACGTTTTTCTTCTACTTTTACTTTCAAAATTTTGAAAAATATCACTTAAAAGAATTTTGAAAAAATGTTTAATCAAAGATTTTGAAAAATATTGCCCCTTTCTAGGTTTCACAATTGGCACAAAACATAAAACAAGAGTTCATTAGATATCAAAGAATTAATTACGCTTTTAATCCTTCAAAATAAATTACAGCTATTTGACAAGTGTCAAGATTAATGTTATCTTTGAGGTATGGTTAAGTAAGGAGAGGATAAAATGTCTCAAGTTGTTGTATTTGTCAAAGGTTTGGCATTCTCGTTTCTTTGATATTCACTGATTTGATGGAGTAGTTTCTATGCTCATTTATTGGAAGTGTTCTCCGGTTCTTAGCTCTCATGAGCACACTCGGGTTGGGAAGTGCCTTATCAAGGGATTTGTGATATCGCCTTCTATACAACAGCTGTATAGTTTTTATATTCGAGCCACCTTTTCAGGTTTTCAACTTGAATCCTCCTTTAGTTTCAAGATGTTATTCAAAATTTACGTCTTGAACCCCCTTTTGTTATTATTATTTTCATCTATTATGCATTAAAGATTTTAGAAAACCTTTTGTAAATAAAATATTAATCCTGATGGGTGGGATGAAATCTAAAGATAGTCTATTCTATTTAGAAATCCATGTATGATTAGAATGGACTTTTTAGGCACGTAATGTAGATTATGGTTCACAGTTATGAAAAAAAGGAATAAAATGCCCAAACAAGTGTTTAAGGGTTATTGAACCAATGATCATTTCATTCTGATGCCTTCAATCTTGTCTTGCTCGATTTGAATCTGCTCATATGTGTCTTATATTTTCTCTTGATGTTTAATGAACTTCTTGTGAACTGATTTTGGAATGATTGTGCTTGATCAATCTTAGGGTTTGAAGCTTGATGCGTCATTTGACTCGAGGAACTTTTTTTACATGTGCTTATTGTCTTTTTTTTTTCTTTGTTTTTTCTTTGCTTCTTATTTTTTTCTTTCTTTTTTTCTATGCTTTCATTTTATCTTCAGACTTTGCATTTGGTTTACCTTTCGAGATCTTATATGGATTAATGATTTTCACTCATGCGAGCAGATTTCCTCCACCTTGCCCCCCAGTGTGGAGGGTGATCTTTGGTTAGGTTTGAATCAGAATAAAATATAATTCAAGCTAAAATTGGGAAACAAGATATATATATTTTCTCCTTTTGTGAAGGGATAATGAAAGAAATCCATTCATCATTTCATACACAAAAGTCATTGCAGAAGAGGTATCCCTATGGGGATAGATTTTCAAGAATAGGAGTCGCCATTGACCTTTGGGTTAGGTAGGTTGAATACTTAAAAACGTCTTTTAAAATAATTTTAAGAAAAACACTTTTTAAGAT